ATTTAGGCATGAACTACTTCAGTATCTGAGGAGACACAAATACCGTCTATCACAACCCCAAGGAACCCCTACAGAGATGACTTCCAACAACCAAAACCATCTTCCTTTGTGCCAGGTATGACTCCATCCAGGAGAGGAATGTCCCCTGACTCTGACTGACTCTACTCTTGCCAGAGCTTCAATATTCAATGTGACCAAGTATGGCATTAAAGTCAAGGGCTGTCACACTCACCCCACCTCTAACCCATTTTTCAAATCATTATTAATAAACTTCATCAAGTTATCACTCCTTAATTCAACTAACATTTCTAATGCAAAAAGGAAGTGAAAAAGTTGTATATTAGCTGATTGTTGTGCTGGGTCATGGGAGATTTTAAGACGTGCAATTATGCAAACAAAGTTGCTGGAAACCTAAACCATAATGATACATTGGAAATAGAGCATAATTTGAAGTATAATTTGCGTCCAGTTTCCCAATCACAGCCAAAGCAGCAACTCTAACCATTTGCCTTTAAAAGATTCATGGAAGCAATACGATGATGTTAAAACCTAGCGGATTTTAATCCGCGCATAGACACCAGGATTCCAAAGCACATCAGATATACTGCCTCCGAGCAGGAAGTTGCTCATTCAGCAAAGCAGACTTACCAACGCAGTTTCGAACTCCAGCAGAAAATGGAATAAATGCATATGGATTAATTTTTCTTGAATTTTCTTGTAAAAATCGCTCTGGCCTAAATTCTTCGGGGTCTGGGAAATGTTTGGGATCTCTGTGCAGGGCATAAGGAATGATCATAGCATTGACTCCTTTTGGTACATTAAAGCCTCCTGGAAAGACAATAATACAACAATAATTAACACCTGTGGAATGTCGGAACAGCAGGAACAGTACGTACATCCATCAAACACCCACCATGGTCTAAATTGAAAACTGCAAATGGCTGGACTTCAGTTCAAACCCTGCACATTCTAACATACATGGGGTTGCTACCAGCTAACCAAAAAGGTTCACACTACCACAACCCACCAAACAGTTTATGACAATTCTGGCAGTGTAGTTCATGTCAATAGAACTTTCCAATATTTCACAGCTTTGCAACACATCAGCAATTCTTCCTAAGATCATGTCCAGTGCAAGTATCAAACCAGGTTTTCAAAAATACATAGATAAAACAATTTGGCAGCTCTTATGGTTAAATTCACGACTTTTAGCCAAATCATCAGTTGAACTCAAATATTCTCTAATAATGCAGTTGGATTATCTTAAATTAACAAATGTTGCCAAGTCAGAAATGACTCCTGCCCATTATCTCTGTGGTGTGCACTGGCAAGTTATCGAGGCATAACAGTTTCCAAGGAGAGGTCAGCACTCCAATTCATCCTGATCCTACAATAGAAAAGAAATCTGGTGTACTGTAAAATAGAAAGCCAATCAGCTTGATAGGTGCTCCTGGTGTTGGCTAATTTCATTCCCATTAACTGATAATATTGTGCCTTTAAGAGAGGTGTGTTCAGGGCTGTTTCTCTTGTAGAGAGAGGTTTTGCTGGAATATCTGCTTCAGACGTGGTGGGTAAACAGCTTTGAGCTCCCAGAGTGTGTTTTTTTTTTAAATTAGACATAAGAAGCAGAAGTGGTTGGAGTCAGGGTTTAGTTTTGCTTTCAGTTGTGGTTTGGAGTTGGCCATTGAAGCCGATAGACACAGCTGTCTCTCTCTCTCTGCTACGGCACAAGGGTTGAGTCCTCTCTCTGCTGCAAGATTGTTTCTTTCAATGTTCCTTTCTCCTGGACTGGAAGAAAGATAGCATGTAGGGAAAATCTGTGTTCCTGAATTTGCCTTTGCCAAGGGTGTGTTTATGGGATGCTGCTACAATGGAACAGTTGATGATTAGTAATTAAATAATACATTATTTTGTTAATTAATCCAAGTGATTTAAAGTTATGCCAATTTTTTTTGTTGGTTGTACTTTAACTGTATCATAGGAATAAAGTGAGTTTTACTTAAAGCCTAGCAGCGGAAAACTAAATCGAATCACATCTGGAACACAGTGCTTTACACTCGTCTTTAAATAAGATTAAAAAGTTAGGGTATAGGCTATGTCGTTGATATATTTTGAGGGGGTTTGGGCTAGTCCATAATAATTCTATCTTTTTGACATCATTCTTGTCAGGGTTTGGAAGGACTTTGCTTCAATGGAATGCTCGGAGTCACGTCTAATGTAGGACACGTCATTTATTGCCTCATTTAAATCAAACTGTCCACTTTAGAGAGATGTTCGTCATTCACACGGTGGCAGTGAATAATTAGGCAGGTACTAAACCGAGCATGATCGAAAGCAGCAGACACCCAACCCTGCCCAAATAATAAGCAGTAAGTCCCCCAGGTTTAGATATCCCTCACTATGCTCTAGACCAGCTTCAGTTCACTGGTGTTTGTTGATAAAACTAATTAATTAAAGTACAACTTACAATAAAATACAGCCAAGGAAATCAAAGCAACAGACATTTTATCAGTACTGTCCTGATCTGGTATGGTTTCACAACTTCAAAACAGTTCATTTACATTGCTAAACACAACAGACATTGGCCTTGGGGAAAGATTAGAAAAACTAACATTTGCTATTCCATCATTAAAGTCAGCATTTGGTTAGGACAAAGCAATGGCATGGAGCTTAAAAGAAAAACTGTGCATATTCTTCACTCAGCACATGGATATCACTTATAAAGTGATCTTGAGATACTACCACTCTTTTTCACTATTTTATACAGAATCAACCAATCCTACTCACTAACCACTTTGCACAGAATCCCTACAGTGTGGAAGTATGCCATTCAGCCCATCGAGTCCACACTGAACCTCCGAAAAGCATCCCACTGTGACCCATCCTATCCCTGCAAGCACGCATTTCCGATGGCTAATCCAGCTAAGCCACACATTCCTTGACACTGGGCAATTTAGCATGGCCAATCCACCTAACCTACACATCTTTGGACCGTGGGAGGAAACCGGAGGACGTGGAGGAAACCTACGCAGAGATGGGGAGAACGTGCAAACTCCACACAGATAGTTGCCCGAGGGTGGAATTGAACCCGGATCCCTGGTGCTGGGAGGCAGCAGTGCTATCAACAGAGCCACAGCGCCATTCCGCTGTCCTTGTCATGTCCCATTGGCTGCTGTGCATGAACAAATTCACCTTCAAAAGCTTTGTCCTCGTACTGAACTCTGTCTATGGTCTAACTCCACTCCATTTGAGTAAACTACCCAGCACTCCCTGCTCCTCAGCCTTTGCAATACATTTCTTCCTCACCTTGCAGAGATATGCAGACTTGAACAGTAGTTTTGCAGCTGTTCTACTGAAGAACCAAGCACTAAGTTCAGGGAGGACAGGGGTTATTAGTGAATAGAATTTTGTTAAACTATGGACAGCAGAAATTTGGATGACTTAAAGCTTAAGTAAAGAATAGTCGGCCAGCTAGGAAAAGTTGAGAAAAGCAGAGTCAGAGTCAGAGACATGTATTAATCAGAATTTCAGATGCAGGAGGATGAAATAGATTCAGAGAGGTGATGCATTGAAGGTTTAAAATTTGCAAATATTCAACTATTTTCTTCTCAGTTTTTCATGTTTTGGTAGAACTTGCAGTTCTGATGCCTTCTCTTGCTCCACAGCAACCATTCACACCAGCCATACTCAGGACATTTCTACTAATTTGTGTCAACTGACGACCAGTGTAACGTTGCAAATTTTTGTTCAATTAAAACAGAGATAAGACTCCTCAACGCATTTAAATTAAAATGCTTACAGTTATAGGAATAATTTAATTATTCCAGGCTAAGGTTTGTCTAGGGATGGAAATAAACATTTCTTACTAGTCTTCTAGTTCATGTTTGTAAACACTTAAATGGGGAACTGAATTTCCTGGGATATTTCCGAAGTTTTGACAAATCACGTAAATGGGCCTTCTACTAACTTCCTGAAGTTAAAGGGGGCACAACAGGATGCAGCCAGAGGAAATTCACTCCGCCCTTGAAACTAAAGAGTTTCACGGATAAACCACCCTCAGAAGAAATTCCTCCTCATCTTTAGTAAGGTACCACTAAATAGTATAACAAATACAGGTCAGAACGTATGGAGTCAGAAAAATAGTTGAATGGATTGCTTGCAGCCAGACAGGAGAGAAGGGATTAAAGGGCGACCAGAGAGGCAGAAGGTGAAAGTAAAGTCCCACGGAGGTTCCATTTTGTGACTACTGTGGTGCAGAATTTACATCTTTGATTTGGACTTTAGAACCAAACATTTCTAAATCTGTAAGATACCCCAAACCGATAGGGAAGTTGAGACCATGAAATGTAGGACGAGAATTAGCCCATTTTAGCCCATCGAGTCTTCTCCAGCATTTGATCATGTTTCTCAACCCCATTCTCCTGTCGTGTCCCTGTAATCCTTGATCCCCTTACGAATCAAGAACCTATCTCGGTCTTAAATACGTTCAATG